GTAAGAGTTAATGCGCAATAATTGAACGACGTAAGTAACTTGATTTTAGAACTAAGTACACGCGTTTCCTCCTGTTTGTAATTACTCAGCTAGATGGACCTGCACCCCAGTGAGTGACGATGTTCTCAGTGAGAATCGAACCTTACACCCATCACTCCAAGCGTCGAAGTGTTATTCACTAGACCAACGAGGCTAGCCACCACCACATGAATCATAACGATGAATACTCAGGCAATATCAAGACATCCGCATAGGAGCCCATGTATCAACAGAGGTCGATAAATTCGATCCATTATTACAACGGAAAATAAGAAGCATCAAGTAATAATCATGTGAATCTGTATGATGTTTACAGTGTGAATTTCACTTATTTTCATATGTGGTAAATCACTTTTCAACTAAAGAAGAGTTCGTTTTCCACAATGAATTTGCAAGCATGTTTAACGATATCTAAACTCGGTGGGGCCTTACAACTGGAGATACACAGATTCTGTGGGATTTTACATCTGAAAGACGAGACACTGAGCTCTGGTCTAACCGAATGAAAATGCAAACTGCCAATTTCAGGTGGAATCTTTGAATAGGAAATACTACAAGATCAAAATACCCTCCTTGTCAGAAGCTGCAAAACGAGTCTTATTGAAGCTGACCCACATGATTTTCATATATTCTGGTGAAATAGAGTCAACTTTATAGGAAATATTGTCTGTAATAACTAACTGTGTCGTAAACTTATACTTCACTTCATCTGATCGAAATCTACTTTAGAGATATAGAAATATCACCATATAAAATAAACATTACGTTTTACACCTAATATCATACACTCAGCCAAAATTCCTTTGAAGCATTCAATGAGTGGATATCGCACCTAATAAACAAAAACACCGTATTATTTACTATTATTATTTGTCCTTTGGGTTCCTAGTGGAATATAGGGCTACAGTACCACGTCCACATTCCACTGTTTTCTGCAATCTTTTGTACCTGGTGCCACGACTGCCCACAAGCTTTCATTTATTCCTCACACCATCTCCTCCATGTCACTCTCCTCTCGGACGCCCAACTTGTCGTTTTCCATCTGGGTTCCACTCAAGGGCCTGCTGGCGCGTGATGTCCCCAATCGGTCTTCTCAGTGTATACTCAATCCAACCCATCTCCACTTCCCTCTGCATATGTGTTAAGCGATAGGTTCTTGGTTGGTTCGTTGCCCGTCAGCCAGAGTTCCTTGTTGCTTATTCTCATTATTCTGGCCATCTAAGCTTCAGTATCGAGCCAGCGTAGGCAGCTGTTGATGAATGTCTGTAGTTTGCTGGAAGTGCTTTCATGGTGCGCCAAGTCTCTCAACCACCATATAGGAGCACTGACTTGATATTCGTGTTGAAAATCCGGATGTTGTTCACGCTTTATGCTGAGTGCAGAAGATCTCCAGGTTGATGGATGACTGTCTTGCTTTTCCAATCCTGGCTGGCTTTGATGTCCTCGTCTGTGCTGCTGCCTCCTGTAGTTGGAACCATGCTACTTGCCTAGGCAGGTACGTGAAAGAGGCTACTTCCTTTAAGTTTCTCCGTTGATGGTGATTGACGCTTGTTGTTGTTGCTGTTGATGGTAGTCGTGGTGTTGGTTGGGTATCATCACCACCTCCGTCTTCCCCATGCTCACTTGAATGGTGTCCCGTCTTCCTTCGCTGCCCTACCTCTTCTCTCAACTTGTTGGTTTTTGCCTGCAGATCTTCAAGTTTGTGTGACACTAGACACCAGTCATCGTTGGCGAAATCCAAATCTTCTAGGATCTTTTACCCGGTCCAGCCAGCGTATACCCCTCTTCTTGCTCCTCACGGTTCGCTGCATGATCCAGTCCAGTTGACCACAATCAGGAAGATCATGGGTGATGGTAGACAGCAACCTTGTTTTACCCATGTCCCCTGACTTCACTTCAAAAGCATCACTGAGCTTCCCATTGTGAATTACTTGGCTGGCATGTGGCGTCTTCATATAGTTGTTGAATGAGATTGATAAAGGTTTGTGGCACTAAAGCTGTAGTGTTGGAGCAGTTGCCAAATTACTTCTCAATCGACACTGTCGAAGGCCTTTTCAAAGTCGATGAAGTTGAGGTAAACATTCAGTTGACTGTCATTCTATGCTCTGTTCGATGATGATGCTTAGCGAAGCGTAGTGTTGCAATTTGATCTGCACATGATTTGTACTTCCTGAAACCAGCCAGCCTGTTCTGGTTGCAGTTTTGGATCCAGCGCATGCTTTAGTCTCTGCGGGATGATGCGGCTAGATATTTTGCTTGTCTGGAGTGGACAAGGACAGGAGCATGATTCCGTGTCAGTTCTTGCAAACATTCACGTCTCCCTTCTTTGGAGTTTGACGAGGTAGCCCTTCCTCCAATCAGTCGGCAGGTACTTTTCATTCATTCCTTCCAGACCTTCTGCAGTAGTGGTGTAAGCATGTCCACTGTTGTCTCTGCGTCTGATCTCAGTGCTTCTGGCAAGATTCCATCTGGTCCTGCTGCTTTCCCACATTTCAGTAGCCTTAGGTCATTCAGGACTTCGACTTTTGTTGGAGGATTTGTGTTCACTTGTAGTTCTGTGGCTGGGCTGCAGGTGGTATTTCTAGACAAAGTGCAGATGGTGGTGGTGGTCGATTCGAGAGCTTCTCGAAGTGGTCAGCCTAACGTTTCCATTCTCGCTCCTCTTTCGTGGTGGTAACTGAGTTCCCTTCACTATCTTTCATTGGTTTCATCTGCGTTGATCTCTTCCCTACCAGATAGTAACTTGGTTATTTGATACAATGTTGCCAGGTCTCTGTCTCTCCTACCTGCAGCCTGTTATGCTTCACTTGCCAATGTGTCATGCAAGTGTCTTTAGTCTTTCCGTGCACTCTTCTTCACCTCTCTGTCCAGTGTAATGTAGTTTTGTACGTTGCACTCAGTTCCTCTTTTCGTTGCCCATCCTTCCACTACACTGATTCATCTTCTACTTTACCATCTTCCTCTCCCTCCTCTATCACCTACCATGTGTCTGTCGAGATCCATTCCTTGTCTTATCCTTTCCTGTCGTGTCCTGACCTGTCCTGTCCCGATTCTTCTCCTTCCTTCCTAACACGGTTATGCAGGTTTCTCTCCACATAGCTTTCAAAGAGTTCCAGTGTTCTTCCACACAGGTCTCTTCAGCGATGTTGCTCGAAATCTCCCACTTTGTCTTCATGGCTGATGTGAAGATGTCGCTTGTAGTTTCTCCCATCAGTTCAGTTCCTGTTCTGGGTGGATGTTCAACTTGAACTGTGGTCTATCACCAGCTTGTTTGAAGGCTTCCAACTTGATTTTGCAGGTAGGTTCCTTGCACTAACTAGGCAGTGAGTGACGTGAACCTACATCTGCTCCCCTCCTTCATCTTATCTCATCTCATCTGATCTGATCTTGTGTCCAGTAGGCTGACTGCGTCTCCACTTTCTTCACATTGAGATGAAGTCGATCTGATTCTTAGTTTGTCTATCCGGTGAAGTGAAATCCATGTCGCTGCCTTGTGAATATTCTTGTGTTTGTACACACTGCCTCCAATCACCAAATCGTTGAATGCACTGAAGTCTGCAAACAATTCTCCATTCTCGTTCATCACTTCACCGAGTTCCTCTCAACCCATGATTGGTTCTCTTCCTGTGTTGTCCGCTCCCAGTGTGGCATTAAAACATGTCACTCATTAGAATAGATTTTGATGTCGCCAACTGGGTAAGGGTCTTGTCGAATGCTGATTGCAGTTGTCTGTAGAATTCCTCCTTCTTCTCTTCATCTGCATTACTCGTGGGTGTGTAGCATTGAATGATTGTGACTTTGCTTCGTTTTGAGTTGAATCCATCTTGCTGTCATGATCCTGATGTTGGAGGAGGAGATTGGTTCCCACTGCATGAGAGAGAGCCTTCGATGCTCTTCGAGATATCATGATAGCCACTCGAGAACTCAATGTGCTCGTTCGTGGTTGTCGTCTGAGTGACAATGTCGGAGTAGATTATTGACTCTCCAGTTGACAGTTTGTGGAGTCGACTTCCATTCCGTCTGCAGATTCCTTGCAGATTCCAAGCACTTCTATGCCATACCTTCTCATCTCCTTTCTAATCTGGACTGCCTTGCTAGGTTCAAACATGGTGCGGACATTCCATGTCCCCATATTCACTTTCGCTTTCATTGAGAGGGAGGAGACACATTGGTCAATTGGCTTCCTGAAGGCTTTCACCAACTGGCGCCATTTTGTGTCTTTGATTTCAGCGAGGAATACTTTTGTCTTTATGTTTTATATTTTGTCTGTGCTTTGGAGTTTCTGTAGTGGTTGGATTGGTTTTCTGGGGTAATGTTGCCAGCCCTACTCCGAAGCTTCCCTCTTTACCCGAGCGTCTGACCGGTTAGTAACTAGTTAGCTAGTTAAGCAGGTGAGGTTAGACACACTGCAAGCGACTGTTAATTGTACAGGGTATTGTTGAAGGAAATGGGTAGCAAGATGAAACAATTTCGAGCACTTTACTTTGTTTTATTTGTGTCTTGTAAGCTAATTTCCCATTGCTCCTATTTCACCTATCTAGACCGCTTTCAGGTGCAATTTTAGTTTGGTCGGGTATGAAGTATCTTGAATCGAATCCGAATTATCTCGTGAATATATTCTTACATGAATTAGGACATGTATTTGTAAGTGAGACATCATAATGTTTTTTTAATATTTTTCTGAACTTGAACAAAAATGATATTTTTTTCTCATAGTTTATCTGTTTTGTCCACTTATTTTTGGACGTCAGGCGCAGCACGCCATCCCACAACATTGTACTTAGACTCAGCAACTCGAAGCCTATCAAAATGCAACAAAATTACAGTGTCGGCTTCTTCTAAAAGCATTGTCCATCATCTCCAGTAGAAGTTCTTCCTTTAATATCACTGCGTTAACATCAGAAAATGACAAAGAATCGTTATCAACTGATAATTTTCTCTTTTTTTTTAAATAGGGCTTCATGTACCATCTGCTGCCTTATCTTCGTTATGAAGATGGCCGTCCCAGAACGACACGAAATCCAAAAAATGGTGAACCTAACTTGGAGAAGGGAATTAATGAAGGTCTAGAGGCTGAGAGGTAAGTCAGTTTTTCAGTAGGAAATGCGCATATCAGTTGACTCTTGTAAATACTAACGTTATTAAACATAATAAAGTGGTTTGAAAAGAACGACTACGATCATTTTAGTGGAGTAAACGATACCGTTGTTTTTCGCCACCAACTACCCTGATTTATAGAGTTGTAATGATAATTTCTCCATCTTGTCAATCCAACCTTAACAATTCTAATCTTATAGCTTATTCCTGTCTCTTCAACCGATTTTCCATAACCTTATTTTTATAATTATTCTTCACCTATGACCCCAGAATGTCAATGAAACTGTCGACTCAGTTTTATTACATTTTACATGCTCTCTACTGAATTACCCAATAAATGATCCGGTTCCCATCTTCATATAGTGTTCACATTTATTCCTTTATTGATAAAATACGCTGAATAGCATGTGCTTAATTGAAGAAGAAGGTTGTGAGAAATATTGGTATAATCGTTTCCCACAAACTTTATTATTGTGTCTATCTGCTCTCACTTCTGCAAAAGGTGTTTTCGACAAATTAGAATTCTAGTGTTCATCTAAAAATAGTCGGACCGTGGATATTCTTTGATGACCTTTTCCGTAAAACATGAAATTACTTTCACCTCTTTGTACAGTATGTATTTCGGTTTCAAAATTATTCTCCATTGCTTCATAATTCTATATTTGTCTGATCGTTAATTACAGATTCACACAATTTTATGATTGAAATACAACTGTTTTATAACATTCATTCGCTAAAACTCAACTCTTCTAAAGTTAACATATTTCACTTTCCAAGTCATATATAATTGAATCCTTATAACTGTTTCATATACTGAAGATGTGTTTTTCTTTTGCTTTTTAGAAACACAATAAAGTATGTGTCCAGAAAATGGGAAACAGCTATGGAAAGAACAGAGAGGAGGATACTTGCCCTAACTTTACCCAGTGTTGTAGTAAGTTACATATAATTGATAAAATATGCTAACATAATTTTTCCAACATATTCCTAAATGTGCCAGTTATAAGCACCTTATTCCATATGATGAATTCCATTACAAATATTGGATATATTTAGAAACGAAAAACAAACATTTTAAAATATCTGTAACTACTTACCTGTCTTTATGAAAACTTCTAAGTGGAATAAGCCCGTATTTTGTTAATGATTAGCTGCATCCAGAGTTTTAACGTTTACAAAGTCGATATTCACTTTGTAAAAGGTGAGAAATATTAGTTCCATTTTTCAACTGCAACCCCGAATTGCGTGTTAGCTAGTGAAATTGTAAACTGGGGAGTTTCCTATTCCACAGTTTTCTAGTCACCTATACCTCCAGCCGTGCATGTGGCAGAAATTGCCACGTTTCGTAAGCACAGTTCACCCACAGACTATTCAAAAGACTTTTCTCTCCCCGTTACCTCAACAGAATAGAAGATAAATACGGATACTCACTATACTTCCGTTATTTGTGTTCTATACAGCTGAATTATGCGTCGAAATTGGAATATAATTCACGAAAGTGAAACAACTGATTTTATGATTGACTACATAGTCCACTCTAATAAGCACTGAATTAATAATTAGTCGTCTTTATTTAGGCTGGAAAGATAGCCTTTTCATAAATGACTAAACCTAACTGGACTCATAAGACAGAAAATAAGTTGACAAACTTGTACAAGTCTATTGATCCGCGATAAATAAAAATGCTGCAAAATAAATGTTAATTAGAATCACTGAACACAACAATAAATTTACTATTAAGTGAACAAAATACCACAACCAGTCGACCATTCTGAGACTCCTGTTTTACTTCTTTTACTCAGTATACTGCTAATATCATACACTCTCATTCGAATGGAGACGTACTACTAGAAAGTCAATGCAATATCAAGAAGACTTAACAGTGTAATGAAATTATTTACAATGACTTCTGCATGCTTAATTCATGCATTCATTAAGCGTTTGGTTACGGAAATATACCATACCACATAAACGTAATCTCATGATACGCGTATGTAATGAATGTTCCCGCGTATGAACAATCATTTGACCAATATTCTCAGACCTACTATTTAATTCTATAGAACGCAAGCAAGTAACTCACTTAAACTGGAATATTTAAAACGGTTTAATCGAAGAAGATATTGCGAGCTTCAGGCTTCAGAAGTAATGAGAAGTTAATTTCATAGACTTCAATGATACTTTTAAAAGTAAACCATTATGTAATCGAAGAGTAAAAGATGCAGAAAATACACATATTCGCTTTCCTTACGAGTTTAGAAAACGATACAACCAGTGTATAGAGAGAAACAAGCACCAGCTATTTATGCTACAGACACAATAGGTTTTGAAAACTAGAAATTAGTTCTTACTTCTTAGATACAAAAGAAAGAAATAGCTCCAGTATTAACCATTTTAAAGCGTTTTTAACAGCGTTCCACTTAAAGGCCAATGTTTGCGTCTGTCAGTAACGTTCAATGTAGACTACTATTAACAAAATGCCATAAAACAATTACATATTTCTAGTAAAGTAGCAAAGAAGTGTGCACACAAACTGTTTAGTCTTAGGACACCTCGGTAACATGAAAATAATGTGATTTTCAGGTACTAGAACAATGGGAACTCAAGATGAATGTTTGTTTTTTGTGTTAGAAACAGTTCAGCCGTGTTCATCGGCACGTTTGTGTAAACCAGGACAGACAAAGTGCGAATATAAATTTGCTTTCGAATTGTTGATTCACAGTGTAGCAATCAGTATTTTTAACTTGTCTGAACTGATCGTCCATATCCTCTATGCGCTCTAGGTAAACCTGAGTTTGGTTCATCATGCCCAGTCCGTATACCCTGAAATACTGAGAATTCTTTTTCATCTACGTTTAAACATTGTAGAATGTAATTCTTCAGAATTTATATCAGATATTCCATAATTTAAATGCTTATAAATACCATTTCACAGTCAAAAAAGCAATTTAATTCTCTTTTTGAATTTGAATAGAACTTCGCAAGAAATCATTTCAGATGTGCCTCACTTGACGCAGTTGACATGGAATCAGATGGTAATGATGAAGGAAGAAGTTCGCATTTTGAACGTCGCCTATCTGTAGTAGGTCTCTCAATATTTAACACACGAACATATTTAACCTTATTTATGCCGTCAAACTGATTTCATTCTCACTCTAATTTTCAGGGCGAAATAATGTCTCCTTATTCAGATGTCATGCAAGTAGTCTCCGGCTTGACTCTTAACTACTTCAAAGATACAGGGTAAATTTACTGTCGTTAATTAAAATGTGGTAAAATGCATAAACCAAAATCTATAGACGGAAGACGTTTCTCTATTAAGTATATTTTATTCGTTCATTTTGCAGCACAATATTCTGGAGTTAAAAGGATGAAAAAAATACTATGTATTATCTTGTTCTTCGAATTTTCGAAATAATTGCTGTACAATGTGAAGTGAATTCAATTTTTGGAATAAACAACTCAGTTCTTTAATGAAAGACAGTTTAGGTGGTTGACTGAATAGTAGACTAATTGATGAGAATGACCATTGACGCTTGAAAATAGTCAACGTTACTTTCATATGTGAATCATAAACTTCAATATCACTGAGATAATATTTTACTGATACTATACATATCAACCAACTGATCGTCCACAACACGTTTCTTTCAATTCCACTTCAACAAATTGTCATATCAAGTAACTTCAGGTTCATGAACTAATGTTGACTTGGAGAATATATTTATAATGAGTAGATGAGTCATTAACCCATAGGAGAGTGATTAGTAGTGTTTTAGAAAAACATTTTACGTAGGGTTTCAGTCTGTTTCAAGTTTCCCTAATGTCCTTCACTGCACTATGAAGAGCTGAATAAATGGCTTCTAAACCCTCCAATAAACTCACTAAATTTTCCCGTACTTTTTAACAAATAACGAAGGTTGAATTTAGCAGCATTTACATGTACAAAGTAGACTTGGAAACTGAATCGAAATGAACTGTTAAATAGTTGATAACAGTCTATGTTATCCTTGCATTTGATCATTGATATAATCAAGAAATGTAGAACTCCTGTGGCTGGAAAGCACTACCTAGATGTTTCAGATGAAGAGGTTGAGAAATGAAGAAGCAAAATGCACTTTTTTACCTTGTTAATTCAACCAGTGTCATAATCCCCCATCATTTGAATCAAAATTTCATGTCTTTATTTACAAAGTACAGCCTGTATGTTTGCATATGGAAGTGAGACATTTTCAGAATAGGTTGGCTATATTTTATTTTCATAGGATATTCATCAGCTTCATGCAACCTAAATGAGTGCGTAAATATTCTTTTTAACGAGTCTAAGCATCTCATATAGGGCATCTTAAGACACTGGTTAATGCTTAGAAGACAAGAAAACACATTGCAGTTCAAAATATGTGGGAGGTCTAAGGAAAGAATTCAAGCAAATTACATATGTTCCCACTGTGACTATTTGACTTAGTTGTGATTTGGAAGACCTTTATTTTTGATAACGGATGATGACTGATGGTGAAATAAAAGTCAGGATTATTGCAGCATTCAAACCAATGGCCTCTTTCGAATCCTGCCAAGACGCGGATTTTCCTTTCATCTTCATCCAGTACTAATAAAATTAGATTTAATCCTGGTTAGCCGAGAGATTTCCGTTTCAAGTCAGATATCATGTAGGCATATATAGATTGAAATGACACATCGTTATGCATTATGCCAGTAAGTGACGACAGCCACCCACTAAGCAGTGAATCTTAGACGGGAGGAATCACGCTCGCTAAAATTCTACTTCAAGTAACCATCAAACAAGCGACATCGGAAAAGCTCAAGGCATTACCAAGGGAACCATTCAGTGACTCATAGTACATAGCTGTCACTCCAGATGGGTAGAATCATCAACGAGAAATTACAAATATGATTAACTAACTTCTGAGGTATGCTTTTAGGATGACTAACTAAACTGCAAAGCAATGGAATAATGTGGCAATGTTTGATATGATACTTTTTCGTGATTGTATTTTCTCCTTTAGTTGGTACAATGTAAACCTTTCTATGGCTGGAGAATGGCGCTGGGGTCAGGGCCAGGGTTGTGATTTTGTATTAAAAAGCTGTTTTGCTTTCATGAAACAACAGAGATGGAGGTAAGAAAAAACCCATAAAAAGCACTTATATTGATATATATTAGTAACTTATAAAATTTCATGAAGCTGGTTTTTCCAATCAGGTTCATGAAAATCATTTTTATAGTTAAATGTGTAAAATGAATCAACTTACGTTCATCAGTGTGAACCGATGCAAGTATCATCTGGTCTTATTTCTATGAAACAGAAGACTAGTCACTTTCTGAATATTAAATTGATAGACTTCAATCAGAAATAAGGTTAAGACTGTAAGACGTCTTAAAATTGTTTACGACTGCGTACATTCTTTTAAAACACTAATTGTATATTTTTTCAGTTATATTTAATAGATTGAACAGTTTTTACGAAACTTTATCAATGTATTTCATGTTCCATAAAATATCTTATTGAAAGCGGTTTCTTCAGTAAGCAGCCAAAATTACCATTCTAGCAAGAAACTAATAACTACATCCTTTGAGCCATTCCACTTTTGAACTAGACTGTATTACGTGAAGAATGTTAGTTTTCACCAGGCTGGTGTGAGACGGTTTTTAATTCTATAAAATGAAGATGAAATTCTAAGAAATACTGACTGAAATCAGTCGGATTGTAGGCTAAGCAACCTCAATCATTAAAATGTTTGACCTGAAAGAATGTATAGTCGGTTGTTTTTAATTAAGATAATTTAAACACTGTTTAAGAGGTTTCACTCAGCACTGCAGGTTGAACGAAAATCACCAATGGTTTTTATCCAGCTACTAACTCTTTAGTATACGAAAAATATGTTCTCAAATAAATATGCTGAAATTCAAAGTGAGCTAAAACTTTCAGCTGTGGAGATAAGCATCTCTCGCTATGATCAGTATGCATCAACTATCACTTTTTCACATCGTTAATATTTTGCTGCCATTCATTTTAGAGTTGACTGACTGTTCATGCCGATGCAGGTTGTTAGTCTGTCTTAAATGCACTCGCCAATTCCATAGCTAAATTAACCTTCCTTATTGTTTCTCATGTTGAATTTAGTAGTTGTTAACTTTGATGTGCATTTATTCACCGCATAGCCGTTTTCTTTAGAATCATTTACACATAGCATATTAAGTTTGACTTTATTTGTTAAGTGTTTAGAAATCTCAGTGGTTAACTTAAAAAACGTTTCAGCGAGCAAAAGTTTGAAAATACTTGAAAGCATTATTACACACAAAAAAAATAAAGCTGCTTCACTTCATGCAATACATAACAGTTCATTTCAAGGAATTATATTAGGTCCAATCATTTATCTTGAACTTACCATTCAAGACGACAAGTTGTGTAAGCACGTCTAGACTGCAAAATGTATGTATAAAAGGATTGAGAAAAAGTATAAACCGTGGAGTGAAAAATAATCCACATTAACAGAGAGGCCGAGCACTCGTCGTGCTAAAATCAACATATTTAATGGATTAGAACCGAAATTATCTTGGCAGATGAGCTGCGTCATGACAGCAAAGTTAACTGTTGTAGCCAATCAAAACAGATTTCTTGTTAGTCGAGTTCTCCTAAAAGATAATTATTCTACATAAAGTTACCTTAGATTGTCGTCTAATATGAAGCCAACATCACAGAGAATGAAACGCTGCCTCAAAACACCAAATTATATTGATATGACTGTACTATTGGTCAATACACCTTAATTTCCAAAATAAAGTAACTAAGTAGGCGATAATTATGCTAGGATACTAGTTATAACTACGGTTAATATAGTTAAGGTGTTTACATTTCATTTTGATATATATATATATATATATTAGATCATCAATTCACAGTGGTAATTAAATTGCTCTAATTTTTTGTTTTTTTCTTCATTGACAGTCAAAAAACCACGTCCACTTGGTGTGATCCTTCCGATTACTCAAATCAGGGTATTAAATGTTTATCCTACACAAATGCATACGGATCATGCAATTTTGCCAACCTAACTTCAGCCCTCAAACCAAGATATACACATTTTGACGCTCCGCTTAGCAATGTTGGTGGAGCGGAATATCTGGCTGATCACTGCCCTTTTTTCAAGGTAAGCTTTTCGTTCTTGCAAGGACAAATCATGTAAACTTACTGGTTATCCATCTGCGGAAGTAGCTTAAGTCTGACATGCTTTTACTTAAACATTCAACGCAGTCAGACCACGATATTGTGAAGCTACTAGCACTGTCTTTAAAAACAAATCAAGTGAAAATCTTCTGCTTTTCAGGCTTAACGAGAATAAGTCTATCTACCATATCAAAAATAACCCAAGCGGAGTTCGGAATCACGCAAATAGAGTTACCTTCTCGGAAGATCCAATTGATTTTGAGCAATCTGAAGTTTGTCCTAGTTAGCGTGCAATATTCCTACAACGACGTGTATATCTGGATGTTGCAAACAACTAATCAGTAATTAAAATGGATGGCCTACTTAAGATGAATGATATCTGTTCATCACTCTCAGAAACACCAGTTTATGAACATGAGCTTCATAAACTGCATGCAGATACTTGTGTTTTTCTCTTTACACTTTCAAACCGTCATTCACAAAAGTCAAACAGAATAATGACTGAAATCAAAGGACAACACACTCATCATTTTATTAATTTTAGAGTTGTTTCAATGAGTTCGGTAACACAGAATGCGAAAAGTACAATTGACTCATGGTGAATTCCCTTCATTATGATTTGCTCATAGATCGATTCGAATAGCGTTAGAATACTGATAACATATGATCGACAAATTCTAATCAACACATTAGGCTACCATTAGACGACCAATTATTGAACATGATCAAGCGTTACAAGCAGTGACTAGCGTCCTGCATTTCTTAACACTAAAAAGCCAACCAGGTTTAACAAAGATTGTGAAGTTTGCTGAAACTTGGAAAGTGCATGAATTTCTGTCTACTGACTCCTAATATTCAAAATAAAGGCACTTAGGGAGAGCAAAAAGTGAATCCAAGGCCAAAAACATTGCTGTACAACTTGCTGGTTTTAACTGAAATTTTTTTCCACTTCTATAAAGAATATCGTTTGAAACAGTCCAGAATTCCATTCTTGTATCCCACGAATTATCTGTGAAAAGTAGATATAAATTTGATAAACTGTTAGAAAGACAGCTGATTGGTTACTGTTCCCCATGCAAAATGTCGACTATTAACCAATGTCTTTGAAGAATATTTTTCGATAATTAACTTTGAAGTTATTCGTCCTGTGAAGTGATCATATAAATAAACAGCTATATTTACAGCACTTTTTACTTTTCTTCAGAGCGATATATATTTCACTTTTCCAGCCTTAGATTAAATGTTTTTCATTAGTGTAGGAAAAGTATAACAGTGGTGAGCATCCTTTATCTCGTGCCAAAGTGCCATTGACGTACAAACGTAGTTCATATTTCGTAATCCACTAGCTAGAAATAACTCTCAGTCGAGTATTGCTTAATCACATTAGATAAATCCGACGTCGAAAGTTCCTGTATAAAGACTACGAAGTACTTCTTGACAGTTACAAGTCGATGGAGATATTTTGCATTTCATATACGTCAATTTTTTGCATTACGTCAACGGATCTCAATGGTTTCAATGACAATTAACATCAAGCGCGTCGTTCTTTGAATGCACAGTTGTTAGCGAAAACGACCTGATGAGTTTATTGGACAGTGTGAATATTATTGGAAATAATAATTCTGATGTAGATAAGTGTTTGACCACTAATAATCAGTTTTCTATTTGTTCACAGACATTTGATTCAGTTGATCATTTACACAAGAACTCCCACTGTGGTGATACCAATAATCGAAGATATGAAGGTAGGTTTCAAGAATTTAAACAAAGCAGATGGTATTATATATATCTGTAAGTAGAAAGAAAGAATTCACGAGACTACATTTAATGTATTTATTCACCTGCGAAAAAAACTAAATTCGAAACTACATGAAAATCCATACCTTATTAAAATGTAATGCGTGTTGTTCAACACTACAAAATGATTGCATTATTTTTCACTGAACTACCAGTAAAACCTGAAGAAACCCTATTCACAAAAATATATTCTATTAAAGGTAACATCAACAAACAGTCGACTATATTGGGATCGATCTCAACAACAGTTAAAAATGTATATTTCCTCAAAACCTAGGGGATTCATTCTTTTGAAAGATGAAAGCATCTTGTACATAACTAGATATCAGAATGTAAGTGTGACATTGCTTTGCAGCAATAGGTTACTTGTTGTATTCTTTCTCACCGGAAATTAATAATATTTACTTAAGATAAAGCTCCACCCCTCATGAGTTTTCAAAATTGGCCTTCAAAACAATCAAGCCTCAGAGTTTAGTGAGCTGTAACTTCTAGAGATATGAACATAATTACTCCATAGACTATCGGATTATTACATACCAAAAAGTGAGCAGTCCTATTAAACTATCCAAATCAACAGAAGTCATTCATGTAACAAAGAGCTCGGTAGTGACTTTCCTTATCTTGAAAAATATGCAATTTTATTTTAAATCTCATGGGTTGAAACTGATAAGCGTTAACAAGTTCATGATTCTAACCCATAGATCCATCTTACTACCTTTAAATGTCTAGCATACAATACGAATTTCATCAGTAAACTTTTATCGAAACCTCAGACTAAATAGATTAACACCTGTTCCTTTCAGCTGATAACCGCTGCGCTCATGAGCTTTCTACCCAAGGTGTCGCTTCACAAAATAGTCGAATAAAATTAACAACGTGTCAAAGAAGAATCCCAAAGGTTATGACAATCAAGTGAATGGGAGTATAACATCATATCAAAAACTATCAAGGGTGCAAATCACTTCACTTCTGCAGCATTTTACTTTTTATTACTTAGGCCAGTTAATTGAACACTGAAACTAATTATCACAGTGAACATATGTTCATAATGTTCGCTGATTTAATATCTTAAAATCAACATCACTAAATGACGATTTCATTAAGTTTCGGGGCTTTTGAGTGATCAGGAGCCTTAATAGTGTAGTGAATTTGTTGAAAGTCGAACCTTGCTGATAATGAAGCCAATGGTTATTTGTTTTTGTGTCGGCCTGAATATTCCCAGCACAAAATTAAATAACTGCATTGCGTTTCATAGTTTTAAAATATCATGTATTGATACCAGATTGTCAGTTGGTTTGTAATATTTTGGGAGAAATTCCAGTTTTGGGCCATTGGGATATAAATTCTCATTTCATTATGTTACAAGTAGACTGAGTGGCATCTGCGTTTAATTATGTAGCTGCCTAATCAAAGTTAACAGGAATATACTAGTCAGCTTAGTTCTGAGTGCTGGTCTTATCATTTCTATATATTTATCAGAAAACATGAATTGGGTTTTTACCCTAAACTTATAATAAATGAACTCAGCTTAAGCAAAAGATCAAGAAAGTCATGAAGTAGATACCACAGTGACTGCTGATATGTCCACCTTTAGATAAATATATACATGGTCTCCTTATGAGTGATTAAGTGTTGTGTTTGTTGGTTCTAGTGTTTTTGATGTCAACGTGAATATCATGAGTAGCTCAAAATTGTCATTATGGTTTAGAAGCCTCGTAAAAACATATTAGGAAGCATGAGGCTTTTTCGTAATCCTTCTATTGTTGTTTCCAATGGGTTTGACAACAGTAAAGTTGAAAGATTCCTAATATAAAAGAGAGGTCAAAAAGCACAGCATTTCGTGATGTGCTCAGCTAACAACAAAGGTACTTTTAAAGTACACGAAAGTGAATGGATAGTTGCCGAGTAAAGTAGAAATTCTATCAAACGATACCAAAAAACAGGGACGACCGAACTTGAGATTCGGATCACATACTTTATCGGTTGGACAACTGGTTCTAACAGATGATATCGTCAAAACTGTCACAGTTTATGACAAAGTGACTTGAACTGCAGTATTTACAATATGTTCCTTCCATTTGTGTGCATGTGAATATCCCTATTAACATGTGCACATTATAATTATCTGCTTATCCTCATATAGAATTAAGAGATAATTCTTTCGGAATATCTCGTTTGCTTTCATAGAAAATAACGGTATAAAATACAAACAACATTATGGGAAGAAATCTCGTTGTATTAATTATGGGATACATTACTATTCTGGAGTACCCAAAGAGATACCTGTAGCAGGCTGCTATAGGGTAAGTCTGTTATTTTGGTATATATATATATATATATATATATATATATATATATATATATATATATATATATATATATATATATATATATATATATATATATTGTGGTTTACTGGTCTAGTATGGCAATATGAACTTATACTAAAAGCTGTTCGTCGAGAAGTTTGGTCAGTCAAGTTAGACAGTTTGGTCCCAGAGAGTGCTCCTACACAGATTTGACACTGTTTGCTTGCTTAGTTGTGTAAAACACATTTTACGAAACATAGTTGCTGTTGTACAATAAAAAATATTCCCAATAAACGTGAGTGTTTTGCTGTTTTCTTCGACAAACGAAATAAATACGAAATCACCTAGGGTTTAAGGTTAGAAAATTGACTCACAAAAATCCAGTGTGTCAAAAGCCTATGGAATACCACTGTGAATGCCGATAGATGAAACAGTTTCATATCCATATCAAGAATATGATACAAGGTTTTACTCCCCATTTCGATAAATTTTGATATTAATTCCTTCAACTATATCGCCACCCACAAGTATGTTTGTAAATACTGATGGAAATTGGGAAACAATAAAATCTTGCAGATATGTTAATAAATCGTTGCAATAATACAAAAAAAATCACGATTTTTGCATATAGTCTAACCATCCAAGGTTTCACCAGAATTCATGACTAAGAACCTTGTCAACAGATTTTGAAAATGTAAAGCATTGGTAAAAGGATTATCTTATAAATTTCCACCTGATAGAATGATGTGTCTTCACTTAGTGGAATAGTTATAATGCTTAGATCTCTAAACATTTTCTTTTTGAGACAGAAGTCACTTTATGCAACTAATTTATGGGTTTCCAGTAACGTGAACACTCGGATTTAGGTCGCTACACAGATTTACTTTTTTAAACCATTGCTTAGTGTTAAATTGAATTTATTTTGATTGGTGGAATTTAATCACTTTCACAATGATCAAATCATTATGTAACAAAGGTTTTACTTTTTTCAGGTAAGGTGTACACTCAGATTCGAACTCAAAATATTTTTCAAAGGTGTGTGGTACACGTGTCCTAAAAGCGGTGGCAGAATTGTGACCATGAAAGATAACACTAGTGAGGATTGGATTGAATGTCCTTCCTACCGTGATATCTGTTCTGTAAGTTTGATATAACTTCACATGAATTTCCAGCATACTAACTATTCTCTCAATCATAAATTTAACTCACATCAGGAGCACAGGAGATTTAAAGTCCGGCTCTTAAGTTGATTTAATCACTTTTAGCATAGCAATCTGTTTCATGCCAAACTCTTTCTCTTCTAAACACGATTTCACTTACACCTTGCATACTTATCAACAATTCTCTGGAACATAAACACCTTGTGTTCATCCTATTGTGCGAAACCTAAGTCTATAACCATCATTTGGCAGGGATGGGGTTATATGCATTCCAAACTAGATGAAAAGGTTACACACTCCAAGCATATGCGTGTCATCGTCACACAGCGCAAAGAAGACTCACATTCTTATTGACAAAGTAGAAGTTAACGACTGAAAGCACGTTCTGATAGCACTAAATATTCATCCACATAAGATGATATCCGTTGTTACTGTGACTTGAGTAAGCCATTCTAACAAACGTCTACGCTGATCATACCGTTTTTCAACCTAATGAAAACGCTTTTAACGCAGTAGAAAACGAATTACTGCACTGATCACATAAATGAAATCCCATTTTTGAAATAGGTATTAGCAGGAAGAGGACTCGGATATTTTGAAATTACAAAGGAATCAAAGTTTGCAAACAGTCGATTCAAATAGGAGTATACCTTCTTCAGATAGTTGATGTGAACTGATAGCTCATACGATGCAATTCACTGTAAATAAGATTGATGAAACAAAAATCTTTCCTTTTAAAACACAAACCGCGTTCTCCAGGAAAATGTCTATCATGATACTGGGGCAAACATTAATTCCAGCGGACACATATTTCCGTCAAAGTCCTATCAAGCCTAACGTTCAGATATGAATTATGATGAATTTATAGCTTATGGAATGTCATTGACGATTATTAAATGTTTGTATGATAAACTGTAAGTGACGACAATGTTACGTAACTGAGCATGTAGTAATCCTGTAGTTTCCTAGTAAATATAGGCTGGTAACTGAAGTTACTGTTAGCAAACATGTCAATGACCAGCCATTCACCGTCTTCATTAACTCCTCTTCAATAAATGCATAAATTTGCTTAAAATAGTAACATACTTTTATGAAGAAAATGTTCAACCTGAATCGAATACTAAGTAGGATCAGAGCAGTAAAATGAACGTCAGCAGTGCTCATGGAAAAACATATCTGATTCTGGTTCACTGAAGGTTGACGATAATTTTGCATCACATTCAGACAAGAAAGCATAACATAACAAGATACTGGGAATCGGCTATTTTAATGAACATCAAGAGAGTACCGAAAGTTGTAATAAATCAGAAAAAGAGTAATGCGCTCTAAGGTGTATAATCTCTACATCCAAATTAACAAAGTACCTTCGACTAAAAACACCAACTGATCTAAATTTAAACAACAAACACAGACAATGGAATGAAAACCTTTTATTTATTAGCTACATTGATAATATCATGATAAACAGCAGTTGAAGAATACCCATTTGGTCATGAAAGAAAAGACACTTATCGATGAATCACCTTTTTCATAGATGCCATTCTCAAATTATACAATTGCATGTAAATAATTCATTTACTTGGCAACAGAATAAAAATGTTCCGTAAAATGTTCTTATAAATCCGATGTTTAAAATAGTAACGAAGAAATTATTTATCAAGCTGAATGATGTAATTTAATTTAAGAAAAAACAATGACAGGAATGAGAAATCAGAATTTTAAGGGCGAACTAGTGATATATGTGAGAGGGTATCAGAAGGTATGTTAGTAACGGGAATAAAAATATTTACGAGACAATGTGTACTGACAGCTCACGCACACTGCAAATCAAACGACCAGACAAACTTCTACTGAATGTAGAATTATGGCTTTAAAATATGGATTGAAATTGCTTGTGCAGCTTGGGATGGCTTTAGGTGAACACTTTTCATGTGGTTTGTATGAACTCGATGGATCACATTCATCGGGATATCGTAATCAATCGAATGTTCGAAGATGGAACTAATAAGCGCATTTCTTTCTCCCTTGTTGATCCACACTGCTATATACCCGAAAATAAGTTAAGGAAAAAGCATTTTATGTTGCCGCTGATTTTGATATTGACTTATTTACGAAAACAAACTCCTATATTAGCTATCTTTGAATACATTCTCCCCTAAACTCATTTAATATGTCAGTTTACAAAGATGAGCAACCAATTAGCCATCTTTTAAGTATGTTTAAAATGCATAATTTATCAAATTGGCGTAAACTTTCCTGTTTTCTATATTCTAAAATGTCTATTTCATTTCATCCACCATTCAGGTTGAAGAAACTCTAAGAAGAATTCAAAAACGGAGATTAGAATTAAATAGAAGTAATATGACATGACAGAACTTTTCTATGTATATACATGTCACAGATTCGGAAATGATTTCCCTTTATAGTGCAATCTACCCTTGTAAAATACTTTCTTATAACAGATACATTTGCACACCTTTTTCAAATTTTTTTATTCCTTATAAAAAGACTTAAAGACGTTGTTTCGGCATGAACACTTGTTTGCAGAATGAGGTTCCTACTGTTTTTCTACAGTGTTTATGAACAAAAACACTTTTACAATCATTCTGTAGAACTTTCCTGTGGTTTTGTAATTTCACGAGAGAATAAACTGCTACACTGCCTGTTAATAGTGAACATGAATTGGTTACGGGATGATAAATGATAATGTAACTTCCAAGTTTGAAAATGAAGTACTCAAAGTTTCCATGAAACTAATTGACGAAATGCTACAGTGCAGTGATTCCTGGCGTTATATTTCAACAGTTAGTTGACAAGTTACCCTGTACATTCTAAGCTCTATTCTTGTTAGCACTACACATCAGCAAGACACATCTCCCATTTCGGTGAAAATCACCATAACTTAGAGTTTTGAACCTGCATCACTCAAAGTCAAAGTCAAGAACTTTTGCCGCATGCTATGCACAGTAATACTCCGTTTCAGTGCACCTGCACCGTGTATACAAATTGTCGTTTAGCTATGACATCAAACACCTAATACAGTGCACCACAAAACCCTGCTACTTACATTAGAAGATGAGATTGCAAACTTCAGCCAAGGGTTTTGCTCAACACTTAGGACTTGACAACTACATTGACTAGCATCAGTAGAACGATACGTTTACTTTATTTAAGTTTATAGACTATTAATGTTAATCTTAATGGTTGAATAGTAAGTTCTAACTTTAACTCTTAGTGATTGAAACTTCAGTCTCCTAAAGACTATGGGTTTCCTCAAGACCTTAAAAGGTGTTAAAAATGCGCTGCATAGTGTGCAGTTTACTCACATTTTTAGAATGCTGCCTCTTTCATGTAAATTCAATGCATGTAAGAAGCTGATAATCGCCACTGAAGTCAGACTACTCGTGGGGTTAACTTCCGATTAGCTTTGATAATGCAGAAAAAGCACTGCAGAAGTAAGTTGCTAGTTTATCATCATAATATCCACTGTTCATCTAAACTGCTCTAATTAAACGCTTACTGCTCAACTATGTATGATTGTTTTGCACTAACTGTACAAAGTAAGCCACATGGCTGTCATATGAGTGGTCACATAATAAAGTCTATTCATTCGGAAGAGTTTCTTAGCGTCCTGACACTCAGTTTTGTTCAAAGAATTGCAAACGAAGGGGTAATAGACCAGTTGAAGGGATCTGTCTGCAGTGCTTATTACGTATTTCAAATAAAAAGTGGTCGAATTCAATGGTCGAGAAACTAGGTTAATTAATATTGAGTTTGGTGGCTTTTCAGTAGCAATAATTCACTTGATAATCTCCATGATTCAGTAAGTTAGTGTAACTGGACACATTTAAAACAGAAAAGTAAGGTAAAATTGTAGAAAAAGTGAATTTTTCGTATCTTGGTTTTGACAAAGCCTATTACTTTGTAAATAATGATTACATTGTTAAATTAACCTTTCTGCTATAAAATATATCACTACTGTGAAAACATTTGGAAGCATTTCCTCAGTCAAAATTTCTTTGTTAATTGTTTAATCATCTACTTTAACTTGCGTTCAACTGTAATGATCCAACGGAATGGCTAGCTTTATGTAGCCCTAATAATTGCGTATATCTCATTCGCCAGGCAACTAAGAGAAATATTTTGTGACTGAAGTAGGTTTACTATAGGGGGTTAAGAGATAGATTTTGTAATTTATTTCGTGGAAAGTTAGGCGGACATCTCAGGAAGTGGTGGTTTGAGTCATATGATCATTTAGCCTATCATAAAACTTCACTCAGCATTCACTTTTAGATTTATGTTTTAGCATCAATCGAAGTGTCTCAGCTTCAGGATACATTTTCCATTTCAGATTAGAAATGAAGTGGAATTTTCACTAATTACTCTAATTAATTAGAGGATACAATCTTAAAGTTAGGAGACAGCCTACATGGGATAGTAGTCTGTAGTAAGTTTGAAACCTTATTTTTATGATTATTAGTTAATACCTATTAGTTGCTTAAATCAGAAGATAATTGCTACTTCTAAAAGGTGAAAGGAACAAATGTGATTCGATTCAGTTATCCACTGTTCATAATTAATACAGAAAGAATAAATGAATAGAGATGGAATGATGCTGAAAGTGAAAAAGGAGTTAGGAATGAAAACCAATGAAACTCCCAGTATTTCAGCCATAGCAGTAAGGCTATCAAACTTCCGATTTATAACTTTGTTAGGACCCCATTTAGGCGGTCCACAATTCATGATTCGGATTTGAAATAAATGTATATGAACCTAAGATAATTTTTCCTTTGAATAAATGTCGAATCCCTTCAAACTCTGATCAGAATTAACAACTCGTAAGAATATCCTTTATCAATTCAGGAAACATTTACTTCAGAAACTAGTAGTATTTCCTGATATATAAGCATGATCTGACTCGGTCAGTTGAAAGGTTGTGTAGCAGTGTCTTTCACAAAAAGAGGTATCTAACAAACATATCATCTTACTGTATGCTTTATATTCAAACATTTTCGTTCACATTAAAGAATATGGTGAAGTACTGGGATTAGTTCCACGTACTGTGATCTCTGTTCATTTTCATCACCCCGTCCATCTTATCTAACCTGGTCATACATGTGATCATGTAGATCTCCATCTTTCCACTTGACACAAAACTCATTAAAAGATATGGGATATGCAGGCGACTTATATTGCTGCAGGTAAAGACGTCCAAAATATACAATGTCTACTGAAAGTAATAGGTGACAAATTGAGCGTGTTTGACCGAAGTTTCTCACATCAACGAGGCATGCAACTCATTCAGAAATGGATTGCGTTGCTACCTACTCTGATAATTAGAGATTGAAATCGTTGAGTGTGGTAACCACTCAGTTCACCTTTGAACCAGCATCAACCCTCATGTGCTGATGGTCGACTAAATATCGATATGGATACAAAACTGTGGTAAATGACTGTTTGAATTCATGAACAGTTCAAATGCATTTCATTATTTATTTCCATTGCAACTGCACAGTACAAATCATTTTACTGAATGCGAAATCTTGACTTCTGTCTTCTGGGGGCCTAAATCTATCGCGAGTATCTTGTGATTATTCATTAAAATGGGACTGATGACTACAGTTTTGCGTTACAACAGTGGAACTCAGTAACCCGTAGAAATCGTTG